CATTTTGATTCTAAAGCAGGTATCGCGTCGCTGTCGCTGGTCGCATCCGGGCCAGTGCCAATTTAGACAGGCAGAATTGCTGGCTGAAAACCCATTTGTAGTGGACACCTCGCCTTCCCTGGTGTGAGAGCGGGTGGCAGGCTTTACGGCGAGTTTTGGAAGAAAGTGTGCGCTATAGGTCGAGGGCGTGATCGATCATTCACAAGCTGTGTTGATGTACAGATAATACATATATTAGCAACCTCAACTGTTAAGCATCGGCGTTTGTGGTGTAGTGGTAACATGCCTGCCTTCCATTATTTGCCCTGAGGCGAGGAAGCATGCGCTCCGGGTTCGATTCCCGGCGGACGCACGCCTTTTTGCCGCCGCCGATGCCATGCTTTGCGCACGTCCCCGCGTTCAATCGAGCTATATGCACCGGTTCCCAGTGTTCAAGAGTATCGCGATCAATCCAGAATGACACAAAAAACAACCGTCGCCACATTGCGCCTGAAGCAATGATCTCACCCTTGACGGCTTGCTTCTTCAACCGTCAGGGAAAGGCGAATTCACGAACGGTAACGTCAGCTTCTACGAGTCTTAAAGAGAAGCCAGAGGGTTCTGCCAGCATCACGCCAATGTCAACGGACGAAGCGGACGCCGATAAGCGTAATTGATAAAATCCACAGGACCGCCGCCATTTGTGGGTATGTCTGTCTGTATGTGGCTGCTCTGCGCTGCCAAGGTTGCCCATCACGCCACGATTCCTTCACGCGCGCACCCCTCTCCCCATTTCCGATGCCATGCCAGCCCAGGACTCTTGGCTGGATGTTCTTTGACTTGCGGACACAAAGTGTTTGACTCTAGACACGCTGCACAGCTTACGTAGCTAGAAGGAATGGAAGAGCGTATCTGGAACATGAGCAAATGCATATACAACCAGGGAAGGAGCTCGTTGCGAAGCCTACATGTATGTATGTCCATCTGTCGAGTCCTTGCGGATGTCTCCGCGAGCTGCAGCCGCAGGTGCGGGCCGCCCGCCGGCGACGGAAAGGGAGTGCCTGCATGAAGCGCATGCAGAAGACGGCACGAGCGACGTCGAGCTCACGTTGCAGTCAGGATGAGGGTGCAGCAGTTTGGAGTGCGAGGGCCGAGGGGGCCTACGGTAGCGCAGACAAGTCCCGGTGGCTTTTTTGACGGGCAAGGAGGATGGCGATGAAGGGGACACTAGCTGCATGCATGTCGGGATTGCTCCCGTCGCTCCCGTCGCTGCCCTCGCACCACTCCATGTGCATCCTTGCACCAACCCTCATCCTCATTCTCAACGTCGAGTCCCCTACCCATGCTTCAGATGCAACATCTTTGCTCGCACAAGCCTTTCGTCATCACCTAGAACGCTCTTCTGACCCGGCCTTGACACCACGATGATACTTCGATTGCCGAACCACTTACTGGGCAGGTTGGGAGACGTCGAGGGGTACCAGCTCTTGCCCTTGGTCGGCAATGGGCAAAAAACAAACATCGTCGGTACGGGCCCGCTGTCGGATGCCGAGCAAAGAAGGCAGAGGATACACACGCTTTCTAAACGAGCGCTGGTTCTGGGCATTTCTTGCTTGCTCTGCATAGCTGTGCTGCTAAGAGTGTCAAAGAGAACGCTCACCTTCGAAGAGGAAGCTTTCAGCAACGCAGTCAAGGTCACGGAGCAGCCGCTAGACAAGTCGGCTGGAGACTCTTCAGCGGTACCCTTGTCAGCCGCTCCTTCGCAGACGAGTGCCATGCCCACCTCGCTAGGCGGTGTTCCGCTCATCCCTCCACCTCGTCCGACCAGCCCGCTACCACCCGCCACTGACAATGTGTACGGCCAATCAACTCCCGACTTCGAGACTTACATTTCGGAGCTCAGGGATTTTACACGTTTAGAATTCCCCAGCTGGCATGCTGATGCCGTGCTCGCACTCCTCGACGCCCACTTAGGCTTCGAGAACACTTCGACCTCGTCGCATGCATCCGGAAATGCCGAAGAGGGGCGCATTGGTACCAAACGCAACGGCACAGCGCAGACCTCTCACTCCAACAGCTCCGCTCTATCCACGCAAATTCCGAAGAATTTTTGGCAGACCGATAAACGCAAACGCCAACGCATCAGCTGGGGCTTTGAGAATCTCAACGAGGGTCAAGGGTGGACGTTCAGCATGCTCCATGATGATGACATTGCGAGCTGGATCTTGCAGAATTTGGGGCAACCCGATAAAGTTGTATCTGCCGGGCTCAATGCGACCTTCATCGACAATTATTCAAAGGCTGACGCACCTCCAGCGCGGAAGTCAACGAGTAGCCGGTCATCCACGGCCGAGCCATCTCCATCGCCATCGGGCACGACCAACGGATTGAGGCAGATCTGGGATCGCATCAACCAACCTATCCTGCACGCTGATCTATGGCGATACCTCATTCTGACTTTGCCGACATACGGAGGCATTTATTCTGACAGCGATACGCAGTGCCTCAAACCATTTTCAGCATGGGGACGTAATGCTACATTTTGGGCAGTCAGCAACCTCTCCGCGCGACAGGTGACCCGGCCGCCCAGCGTCATCTTGGCAGTGGAAGCAGATGTCGGGAGCAATCAAGAGTGGTTCAAGTGGTGGGCGCGACCGCTGCAGTTCGTCCAGTGGACGATGGGCAGCGCCCCGGGTCACCCAATCTTTATAGATTTGCTGCGAAGGATCAAGTTGTCGTCGTTGGCGTATCGGGACGCCAAGCTGGAACAGCAACGCAAGATTAATATGCTAAGGGCTGAGGCGGGCTCACTGCAAGCCAAGCTCGACTTTGTTAGTGCGAAGTCTGGACATTCAATGACTCGCGTCGCTAGCGTCAAGACCCGCCTCGCCCGCTCTCCTACCTCTACCGCAGCCCCTAAGCCTGAGCGAAGGGAGTGGCTGCAAGACTGGCTTTCATTAGAGTCCACAAGAACGATCGCAAACTTTGAGTCGACGTCTGCCTCATCTTCGACCTCCTCAACTAGCAGCAGACCTAGACCGACAGACGCATCGCTGCTACCAATCTTTGAGAAGATAGAGTCGCTGCTAGCCGAAGCCGCGCTGCTGGAGAGCACACCGCTGGTGAACAGCGACACGCAAGGCGAATTGTCCATCATGGAATTGACTGGACCGGGCGTCTGGACCGATTCGGTGGTCAATTACCTCAAAGTGCGCTACGGCCTCGATTGGACGCACTTCAAGGATTTGGAGCATCCTGTGCGGATAGGGGAGCTGGCGATTTTGCCGAGAACAGCTTTCAGTCCTGGTGTGAATACGCCCGGTTTTGGATCAACCTGGGACGACGAGGCCATGGTCTATCACGAGGTGAGCCGAAAGAGATTGCTGCGCGAGCCGAAGGGCGGCGAGTTGTGCTGAGCGGTGGCAGCATCTCTTCCCCGATCCCCAGTTTCGCGGCACTTGGCGAGTATCAGCAAAGCCGGAACCAGAGCCACCAGCCCCAGATGACGCCTCCGCTTCGTCGAGCTCTGCATCGGCAGCGCAATCGAGCAACGCGTCAAGTGCCAGTGATGCTGGCGGCAAAGCCCCAGAGGACGACCCTTCTTGGAGCTGATTTTCAACGTTCGTCCAGTGTCTCTAGCCACGCGATGTTCTCACCTTTGCGAGCGTCTGTCTGGCGGTCCCATTCAATGCTCTACCCTCATTCTTAGGCGATTGTACTTGAGTACTGTGTAAGCCCTTCTCGCGCTGTTTCGCACATCACGTCACCCCATCGTCGCTCGTCCTCCATTCACGCTCTGATTTAGCCAGCACTTCCTTGCAATGTCATTGTATCGTCTCCATTGCACTGTGGCGTGAACAATGCTGGGCACGTGCATACTGCGACCAGCCATTCCAGGCAACTTCGCATCAGCTCGAGCTATGCAGTATTCTTGTCATCCTTTGGAGATCCTTGGCGCGCAAACGCGCTTAGCAGACTTGCAATGGGAGACTGCTCTGTCTGACCTGGCGGTAAGGATGGTGTGGCGCCTGTTTTGGAAAGGAGACGCCCGCGCGAATGCGTCAGCTCGGCCAGTGATTGAATTGTGATTGTCGGCCCAGCCTCCAGGACCTTGTTGCAGCGCACAATGTGAAATAAGCTGTGCAGCCAGCGTCGCAGGGACAGCTCATCTCGTGCCCCCACCGCGCATTTAGCGCCCCCTTCCTCGATGCTCAGGCCTCCAGAGTTCGCCACTGTGCGCACCGACACTCGGTCCCTTCGCTCGCAAAGTACCCCAAGCGCTCACTCACCTCGTGCGGCATTGGTTCCCACAGCGTGTCTCTCCGCAAGCCTGTCTATCCTCTCTTGCAATTGCCGAATCTCCTCTTCCGACGCCCCTTGTGACCTGGCAACCTCTTGCGCATCCCGTATCATCATCTGCCTCTTCTTACGAGTATTTTGCGTCTTGACATAGAAATAGGAGAATCCTGCGATGAAGATCAATGCCGTCCATCTGCGAAGATGCGGAAGGGGCGAAAGGCGGGCAGGTAGTGTGGTGAGCGAGGAGCGATATGGTGAAAGGGACACCTGTGATTGGGGAGGGCACACATACCCTACGAGAATCCGCTTAGGACCGGCGGTATTGGACACTGACGGTCCCGTTCCTCGAGGAGCATCGGCAGAGGCTGATGCGAATAAACGCGCACTGCTGAGCTTTGGCTCACCGCGCTGCTGCGATCGATTATGTCGGAAAAAAGTATGCGAGGAGCTCAGGCTGCTGCTGTGAGGCGTCGAGTTTGACCGACCGAGTGCTGACCTCGCTATCAGCATCTTGTTGGAAGCACGAAAGGTTGCTGATGTGACTGATTGACCGGGACGTGATTGCGATGTGCGAGGACTACGCCTTGGTATGCGAGGACGAGGAGGAAATGAGGAGGGCTGTCTTTGACTGGACTGTCTAGGGTCGGTAGGGTCGTTGTGAGGCGAGGTTGGTGGACACCGGCTGGGGTGTTCAAGCACCAGCTCAGACATGAACAGCCTTCAAGAGACTTTGGGGCGGGCTGCTGCTGATGATGACATGATCAACACGTTTCACCAGGTGGTGCGTGGTGCACGATCACGATGAATGGTTCTCCACCCCCGCTTTACGCTGTGAGGTACGCGGTACGCGTGAGGTAGAACGCTGCTCTACGTGTATCCCCGCGGATGTCCGCAGAGACGACGCGTGCCCCGCCGCGCTGATGCTGATGTAGAGTAGACGCGATGAAAGTACCGGGGTACAGTAGTCTGTTGTTTCGCGTGCGTGCATGGGGTGTCATGCAGAGAGGGCCGGCTCCCCATGCAGCACAGCAGCAGCTGCTGGGTGAAGTCGTGAGCCAGCAATTAAGCGCGTAGAATGCGCACATGCTGGGCCGCGTTTAGAAGATCTCGTCTGAGATGGGCGTCACAGTCAAGATTCACCTTGCTGAATCATTGGTGCAACAAAAGCCACACAATCAAAAATCACAATCACAATTAATTAGCAATCTCCGAATCACTGAATGTCAAATGTACCTTCTGCCTCTACAAACAGACTTCATTCGCCTCCACATATTCGAAGGTTGACATTCAAATTGAAGGACCAGTCACGCGAGTCTCCAGTCAGGAGTCTGCTGGGCTCTCACCGTAG